ACCCTAGACCCCAGACCCCAAACCCTATAACCCTAAACCCTTAAGCCTACCCTAAACCCTATACCCTAAACCGGGCTCGAATCTGGCATTGCGGCAATAGATTGAGCTCCTGAGGGCCCTAGACCCGAAGCTGAATCAGCTGAAAACAACACCCACAAAGCCCAAGAGCTTTTGCCTGAATCAAATAAATGGGAGGCCCCGAAAATAGGGGGTACCTTATTTTGGGGTCCTTATAATAAGGATCCTACTAGTTAGGGTGCTATATTAGGGTCCCCTATTTTCGGAAACCCCCAAATAGACTTTCAACTAAAAGGCGCATTCATATTATTATGTAAGGCATATTTCCCTTAATTCAGGGGTATTGGGCTCCCTGGGCAAAGGAACTCAGAAACCTTGAAAGCGTAAGGCCCTAACAGGCCCCAAACGATGAACCGGGGCAACAGGTTCAGAGTTTAGGGTTTAGGGGTTTGGGGTTCAGGGGTTTAGGGCCGGGGCACTCTTGCCCATTGGCCATGGCTGTGTCAGTTCGTGCGCATGATCTCGGCTGTGGCCAATGTCTGCCTGGGCTTTCGGACAGAACCCAAACCCTAAACCCCAATCCAAGCTCGTGAAGCTCTGGCTTCACTTCCAGGTTGTGGGGTTTCTGGATTCCTATGGGGGTTTCGGGTTTAGGGTTTAAGGTCTGTGGGTGGGGCGTACCCGGGTTGTACAAGTAGATGGGCTTGGGTTTCGGTATCTGGGCCGACAGATATTAGGATTCAGGGTTTGGGCCGACAGAGCAGAAGGACGAGCCGACTTCGACTCGGATTTTTGCCTAAACCCTAAACCCCTAAACCTAAACCCTCAACCCTCAACCCTCAACCCTCAACCCTAAACCCTAAACCCTAAACCCTAAACCCTAACTCTTATCCTCGTCACGCCCTCGATCAAAGCCCCAAACCTCCACACCCAGCGAGAACGCAACCTCCCACGCGTACCCAGCTAAGCCAAAAGAGCTTGTAGAAGGTGTTGGTTTACCCAAAGGTTCCGCTGTGGTTGGTTTCTTGGGCTCACCAGTTTTTATGTGTAGGTTTAGGGTTTAGAGTTTAGGGTTTAGGTTTAGGGTTTAGGGTTTAGGGTTTAGGGTTTAGGTATAGTGTGTAATCAAGGATCCGACCATACGCGCGAAAAACGGATCTAATTACACGGCGCCCCAAAGTCAAAGGCCAAGAGGCCATGAAGAGCAAATTCAAAACCTCCTTGGGCTCCGTCGACTCATTTGCAGCCCAGGCAGTTCCCAGGAGAAGGCCCGCACAGATGCGGCGGAGTGAGGACATGGTGGGTTTGTTGGAGTCTAGAAGGCTCCAAAACCCAAGGAACTCGAAGAGTGCGTTCTTGCTTAGCAACAACGCAGGCAGTTTGGGCCGATAGTAGCTGCTCGCACAAGCTCTGGATCCTTATGGAACCCAAGGCAACACGTCGACGGCTTTCCGAAACCAGGAAACAAAGTTTTACAAAACAGTGGGAAACATGACAGGAGCACACATCTTGCATGCAAGATGGACGTACCTACGAACGCCCGCACCCTGGACTGCACTTTATTCGCGACCTCCAGGAAGCCGGCACAGACGACTCGCCACAATTTCGGGACGAAGCTGTATCACAGGAGTGTTCCGGGATCTGGCATGGCAAGGGTGTGGGGTATAGGGGTCAAAAGTGGACGGCCGGCCTCCGATACCACCTAGGACAGGTAAACTAGCCGAGGTGAGCAACAAGCATTGAATGGGGATCGTCTTGCGGTTTCCCAGTCGTGTTAAAGAGCCTCGGGGCACTGATTAAAAAAGCAGAGTGCAGAGATTTGCGGTGGTCCTCACATGGCCAGCAATCTGACCGACACATTCAACAGAAGACATAATTATGTCGAGTCGATACTGGCATCCAAACCCAAAACTCCTCAACATTAAACCCTGCAGAAAACCCGTCCCTTTGCACGTCTCTTCGGCTTCTTTCGCCCGCCATGTCACCATCCGTGACAGATCTTCCAGGTGGCTACTACCGATGTCCTGTCTTCGGCCAGAACGTGGATCCTGAGCAAATCTTGAGAGTTTGGGGCTTCCTGGGGCACAAAAGATCTACATATAGAAACCACAATAAGGAACCCTACCCTAAACCCTAAACCCTAAACCCTAAACCCTAAACCCTAAACCCTAAACCACAATAAGGAACCCTGAACAGGTAGGGTTGTCCGGCTACAGGTAGGGCTTCTTGTGTTTAGGGACTAGGAGTCGCTGACAGCTTGTCCAGAGCACATATACTTTGTCTGCTCGGAGCTTGCACCTAGTGGCTGCGTTAACATGTGGAAAAACTAGCACCTTAGGGCCTTAATGGTTAGACAAAGTTTTCGGGTGTGTATATATAAACATACATACATACATACATACATACATACATCCATACATCCATACATCCATACATCCATACATCCATACATGCATACATGCATACATGCATACATCCATACATCCATACATCCATACATGCATA